AATGGAAATCGGAAGCGTGGAGAGTTTTCACTTTTTTGGAGGGTTAAATGTTTTTTTTTTAAAAAAAAAAGAATATTGTATGTTTTTTTTTTTTCTTCTCCTGTTTTTTCTTCAGGGGGAAAGTTTTTTTCCAACCCCCCCCCCCCTCCCCCCAACTCCACTGCTTCAGGACAGGAATTGAAATTTAACGTAAAACCACTGGGATTATTTTTATCCTGTAGACAGCCTATTATGATTAAAACATCAGTATTTTTCTCGTTGCTGAAATAGAATTAAATTTATAACATTGAAGATTCCGAACTTAATCAAATGAAAGTAGAAACAACAGTATTTCAGTTCACAATTAAATGTAATAAAGTGTATAAAGAGGCTAGGTGTGTCATCAAGACATTAAGAGCTTGAATTATGTTATATGCTTTATTAATGATATTATTGTCACTATAATAGTTGATACTGATTATCACTGCACATCAAGAAATGTTGTGTAGTGTTGGTATACAATATCTAACATTTTCTAATATATACATGTATATGCATATCATTGGTAAGTTCAGTGGACCAGTAAAGGCAAGAGGTAAGCTGGTAATATTATGAGTTGAAAATTATGGCGTCACCTAGATTTACATGTAGTTATCCTTAACAAAACTTAAAGGTAAGATCTAACAAAATCTAGGCAGAGTGAGAGACATGTAAATTTTTGCTTTCACAGGCAAATAGCTAGCTCCTTCAAATGCACTTTGTCTTGGTCCAAGTTAGAAGCATCCACTGCATTTTTTTAACCTCCGATCCTTGTCAAAGCTTTTGATGATAACAAAATGTTGAGGCCTTTTTTAGATTTCTGTGTATCTTTGTATCATTTGTTTTAATTGTTTTTTGTCCTTTGGGGTTGGAATCAGGTACATTTTGTACCCGAGGCAAATATTACAAGTGAAAATTCTTTATTTGTAATAATAGTTTAGTAAGTAACTAGAAGACAAGGAATAAGATAAAATGATTAATTTAGTGTTTGAAAGTGCATTTCACTTTTTATTCTTTTATTTTTAAGTGGTATGTTGTTAAACAGTAGTACCATTCTCAAAAGGAATGGCTCAATAATTGAAAAAAATACTTTCATGGTATAGTGTTCTCTTATTTAATTATGAGCATCTCCATGTAGCACCATCATTTAGTTTAAAATTAATTTATTGATTATAATTTGTGACCATATTCTAAAGATACATAATGATGCTACTTAAAAAGTGTAAAATAGTACTCTATTATCAGCTTTGCCAAATATAACTAAATGAATTTCTTTACACTTTGTCTCTTTTAGTCGAATTGCAGAAAACATTGAGGAAAGCCTACCACAGTTAGAAACAATAGTTATGACTTCTAACAACATGCAGGAATTGGTAACCTTATTTAATTATTTATTGAATTTTGTTCTCATATTTGTAGTAAATCTGGTGTCACATGTAACACTCAAAAATACTTGTAAACTGTCTTTTTAGGTATTACAGTGTGAATGTGTCTATCATCGTCTGTTTATAAGTTGTTTGTACATTTTTTTTTTGCAGAAAGATTTGGACCCACTGAAAACTATTCAAAGTCTTAGATACCTCAGGTAATATTTGTTTATTTTTGAGTATAGCCTTTGTTTTTCATCACAACTCTGAGGATGATCAGTGTGTTGTGCCGGAAAATACTTTTACAATATGATTAATACTCTTTTTCCCTCTCCAACTTCTCTGGAAGTTACAGTGTAATACACAAAAATTATTATTTTTATGAATTGAAAATCAGAAATGGATTTCAAGTAGAACAGAGGAGAGGTTAGGGGAGGCAGT